ATTTTTGTATGTTGAATTAAAATATTTCTTTCTAAAGCTACTTTTTTGTAATGTCTATGCAGTGTTTTTTTTTTAATTAACAAAATAACTATTATCTTTAATAACAACTTTATCTTTAATTAATCGGCACATGATGTGTATGTTAATTAATGAATCTTATTAATTTGAGATTATTCAGAATAATTAATTGGCACATTATGTAATTAATTACATTTTAAAAAAAACAATCACTTGATAGCCCTAATGAAAAATAATTGTATTATGGAAATAGGAATAGAAAGGTCTAGACCCCGCGGTCCGTTCGCCACGGGGACTGCACCGTCCAAAGGATGGCCTTTCTCTGCCTTCCCTAGACAGTCGTTCTGCAAAAATACAGTACATGTGTGAACTACTTGACTACAAATCAATTCGGCAGTTACGAGTTTGAGGGTGTACAATGTGCTACAGTATTTACTGTACACAGAATAGTGAAAGATCCCTCATCTTCTACTATGTACTGTAATTATAATGTATGTTGAAGTTGTATAAAAACCCTGTAGATTACCCTGTAGGCCAACTTATCAGAAACAAATCTCCAGACAGACAGACAAACAGGCAACCATAGATAGATAGATAGATAGATAGATAGCTGCCCACATTTCACATTGCTTTCTTTCTCCCTCCCCCTTTTGTGCAAATTACATTAGTGAAAAAATGTTCTTCCTCCATATTTTACACCATTGCATTTTCACAATCATGACAGAAAACAACAAACTGCAACAAATACGATAGAGAAATGTGTATTAATGAAACTGCAAAAGCTAACTAGGTTCAAGTATTACAAGGAACCTATCATTTACTACAACTCGGCTCCCAAACAGAAATTCACGATTATAATGTTATGTGAGAAGTTCATGTGAAATTTCCAAGTCGGCTACTCATGTTTACTCTAATTCTGATAGCTTGTGAAGGCAGAATTAACGACAAAGTGTAGAATTAACTGTAAAAGACATAGCGCCACTAAGATGGCTCCAAAAGCTAAACAATGACACTCGTAGCATATCCACCCATTCTCCAAACCGCTTGTCCGGTGTAGGTTGGAGGTAATTGCTGGAGTCTGCTCATATCATGCTGAAAAGTTATTCCAAAAGCAAATTAAATTACTTCAAGTAAAGATTTTTTAATAGAAAAATAAACATAAAAGACACATTATTCCTGTTATACTGTTCAAAATATCTGCAAATGCCAATAGAATTAGCATTTTTATTCACATGAGAGGAGCATTTATTATTATTATTATTATTATTATATTAGGATAAATTTCAGGCTGTACTCTATTTTGAATAAAAAATATATTTTTCATCACGTGCAGATAAACAGAATTTACAGGGCAAGCAATCTCAGAGGATACAGGCGATGCAGAGTCAACTCTTTCGTGTAAGCATGTCAGCTGTGATCTTTCAAATTCATCATAAAAATGTCCAGGATATTTTTAATAATTGGATCACATTTTTATAGGACACTGGGGGTTATTATTATTTGTTTGTTTTTTTTTATTTCCAGGAGGGGCTCCATTAAAGTTGATATGACTCTTATCTTTGAGAATTCTTCTACAGTCCCAAGCTCATTTGAGGTAGAGGAAATTCTTAATGGGACCGCTGTGAATGGTACCATACTTTTGGACATCATACTTGATACTATCAAAGCAGGTGAGTGTGTGAAGTACAATTCACAAATTAGCATAACAATGAAATCGTTAAAATGTTTCATGTGTGCACATTTTATATTACAGGGGAAGTAGTTACTTCTAGTACACCACCGCCTGCCACAAATGCAACTTTTGAATCTACCACCATGAAATCGAGTACCAATGGTATTTTCCAACAAATACTGTGTTTCATTGTTAAATAGTATTTTATTTAATAATTTTAAATACATAACATACACTATTTAGAATATATCATGTAGTGTGTAGTGTACCGAACACCCCTGAGAACTCAATGCCATAGCCTATATTCTTATTTGATATTTTTCTGTACTTCTTACTTTTTCAGAGTACACAAACACCACGTCTAGTGCCTTTCCATGGCTGGTACGCTGTTCACTAATGACTATATCGCCAGCTATTACTGTTTTATTAGCACAAACTTTGATGTGTTTGTAATTTAAAGTGTACTAGGAAAGTTCACAAAATAAATAAAATGAAGGACACTTTGTTTAATATATTTAAGATGATTTTGTTAGTGAAGAATGGACAAATGTTGTAGAAGTTTATTTTATGATATAGTTTTTTAGTACCCTACTAAATATCTAGTAGGGTATATATTATATCTATATATCCTATAGCATAGTAGACAGATATAGTATTGTAACGAGGAGACGTGACAACGGGGTTGAGGATCTAAGTGCAGGCTTTATTTAGAGTGTAGTCGGACAGGCAGGGTCAAAACACCAGCAAAACAGTACATCCAGGGTAATCCAAAAGAGTAATCCAAAGAACAGGCAGTCAACGATCACAAACCAGGTAAACAGTCCAAGAACAAAACACGAAGGCAAGGCAAGGCAAGACAAGGCAGAAACTAGACAACATAGGCTAAACAATAATCAGCAATGACTCTGGACGGTCAGCTGTGACGTGACGAGACTCTGGACGATCAGCTGAGATGTGACGAGGCTCTGGAACGGCGGCCATTATGGAACGAGACTCTGGAACGGCGGCCATCTTTTGGGAAGTCTCTGAGCTGACGGCCATTTTGCAAACAGTCTCTGTGTTGGCAGCAATTTTATAAAAAGGCTCCTCAGCAACTCCCACAGTGAAGGGGGAACCACACATTTATATAGTATTCACCGACCACAAGTTACTATCCACACATTGCTAATACTAATGTTAATATTAACTAAAAAAAACTACTACTAAATAAAATGACTAATTACATCATTGATAGATTTAAAAAATGTCATATTAGTTATGGTCAGTCCTTCATCTGAGAAGGACTAGTCATCAGGGATTTGTGCAAATTTATTTGTTTGTGTCAGATTAAAATAATATATATGTTGGTTTGGAACAAAGCAACTTTTATGCGTGGGGGGGAGGGGGGGCCTGGCAGACGAGCCACGAGCACTTTTTTATATGTTCTACATTTCATGTATTTATGTAACACATATTCTACATTAAAAATACATTTAGAATGAACAATAACTTCTGTACAATGAGTAAAAAAACAAAAAAACATAGGCTACCTAATGCAGAAAAGCCGCCTCTTTTTCCGAATTGCGAATTGATGACCATTATCTTTCTTTCAGCTCTTCTGATAAGTTTTCAGTCAAATCGTTCTCTGCTATACAAATACATAATTCATTCATTCATAACTGACAAACTTATTTCTGATGTAGCCGAACCAACGGGCAGCATGAGTGCAAGCTGCAGTAGTCTGAAAAAGTTTGGATATTTGTCCTTCCGTACTTCATCTTTAAGTTTCTCAAGAGTGATCGGCGATGCGATTGCACATTTCACAAGATCCATTTCAGCTGTCTCAAGCTGAGGGTGAATCTTAAGGCTTGCGTACATGCTTAGTATAGGACTGATGCCGTTTTTCTCACAACTGAATACTGAGTCACGCCACACTCGAGGCCAACGCTTCATGTGAATATCGCCTGTCCAATTCAGCCAGCAGTGACTCAGTCCATCATATTTTTATTCGCGGGTTTATTAAAAAATACAACTAATTTCCATTATTCAGTTAACTTGCTAAAGCGGGAAAATAATGAAAAGAGTGTCCTCTCATGTAGCCTATCGCAACAAGAATCATGATGAGTCGTCGCGGCTCGCGAGGATGGGGCTTAAATATCATAGAAATTAATTTAGCCCAAAACTTACTTATTCTATCCACTAAAATAATAAGATAATACAAATAAAATGAGAAAATATAAATTATCTAATTTTTATATTTTATTCATAGCTCAGACAAAATCATGATTGGCTCTCGTCCGCCCCCCAGGCCCCCTTAAACTTCGCCTATAGTTTGGAATAAAGTGTACAAATTAAGGTGATTCACTTCATTTGTTTATTCGTATTAAACGCTAATATGTTTAGTTAACATCATTTAATTTCCTGTTGTTATATATTGTGAATTCTTTGTTATTAAAGTTAATGCATTCTGACATGTACCTTTTTTTTTGTCCTCTTGGCTTTCTATAATTAACCCTGGTACCAGTAGTGCATTTTTGATCACACATATTAGGGTTTACACAATAGCAGGAAAATGAGAGAATATAAGATATAGGAGAATAGGGATGTTCTAACGTCACCAGTTTATAAATTGGGTACAGGGATGATACCCCCCACAAATCCTTCTCAGGTCATAGTAGAAGTTGTATTAATGTTATTAATTCACTGTGTATTAGTGTAATGGATTTACAGAATGGACAAAAAATAAATCAATCAATCAATTTTGAGATATAAAAATCAACATTCACCTTCAGGTGTCATCTGAATCAACATCATTCTCTTGTTTACTTTGATATACAGCATTTACTTAAAACATTAAAGTAAACAGACAAATCTAGAAATATCCTGTCTGAGCAGATGGAGTGGGTTGTAACAGCACAGCCTGGTTGCAAAACTCCTTTTCCCATTTACTTCTACTGAACCCAAAAGATATATCATATCATATCATATACAGTATATATATATATATATATAGATACAGGGTGCAATTTATATATATATAAAAAAGTGTGTTTAAGCCTCTGTTTGAGTGAAAAAGTGAAAACACGTATTCACACTCCCTGCTTTTTTATTGTTGCTTCATGTTTTCCACCCCACCTATTTTTACAACTCGCCCCGGAAAATGGAAGAAACAAAATCACTCAAAATGTGCTTGTAAAGTACAAAGAAACAGCAAGCAACACCAATCTTTGTTTTATTTACAACTTCAAAATGTTTTTTTTTACAGTGTAGGGTAGGTTGTAACAAACTCCTTGTACAGTTTAAAGATTAAAAACTAATGTAATTTGTAGCAGATAAATGATGAAAATGTATATCAAAGTTTGGGACAGTCAAAAAAAAGTGGTTGAACCATCCCCTACATTATTCATGCATTGTATTACATTGCACTTGACAGCTTGCCCACATCTCCCTGCAATTTTGTGTGATCTGATGTTTTCTAAAAGTAATTTTGAAGATATGGGAACAGGCCGAATGTCAGTTCTTCATGCTGTCACAAATCAAAAAGTGGATTCATTTAGATAGTCTTTATTAGTGAAGTTTTTGCAGCACTGAATTTACAAACGGAACAGGATTCCCCCTTCATTTTATTAAACATTAGTACTTCATAAAACATAATACAGAGCATTTATTAGAACATCTTTTATTTACTTTAAAGATTAAATACATAGATTTCACATCTTCAGAATGGTAAAGATATTTATTGTTCAATCGATTTTCAAAAGAGCAAAACAATCTCAATTTTGAATTTCAACATAATACTTGTGCCATTCCTGTGGCATAGAGAAATGTTCAGATTTGATTTCAATAAACCAATCCTCATTATTTCTCCAGCCCAGTGTACACATGCACAAACAATGTGCTTTTTGTAAATCAGAAACCAAAATACCATAACTCACACATACCATACGTATCACCAGGCTCTATATGTGGCAAGAAAGACTAGTAAATGTTACAGCTAGATCATAACTTGGCTTGTTTTGCTTTGTGACTTGCTGATTCTTAATGTGACCAAAATGATAAAAAATGTCACAATCATTTTGCAGTAGCGTGATTTTATGTGTGAAGGTGATGCTTAGTACATGAAGACAACAGAAGTGATGTTAGCGTCATCCAGAAAGCAGTGAGCATACTAGCCAAGACTGGAGACTTGTTAGCTGTAAAAAAAGAAAAAAAAAGAAAATAAATGCTCATTCTCCTTAGAGACCACAAAGCATCTTAAAACATCATAAAACATCTTTGGAATTTATTCATTCATTCATGGTTTGCCTTTGCTGATTTTAGACACAACAGGGTATCTTCCTGCCCCCACTACTTTCATTCTCATGTTGCTTATATTTCTTTAAGTGTTCAACCACAATCTCAATCTCAACCACAAATAGCTTTTAGCACCTCCCAACAAGATTTGTGTGTGTGTCATCAAACATGAATGTTTATGTCAGGATTGACAATGTAACAGACAAGTATCAAACAATAACAACAACAACAACAACAACAAAAGCATCTGTGAATACACACTGACAACTGGTTGTGATCAGTAGCATTGATGGATGTGGTATCAGCTGCAAAGCTGAAATCTCCAGTTGCAATTGCTTCAGCAAAGGCTTTTGTCACTTCCGTCACATTAGGACTAGTGTTGTTTGTGTTGTCAAACTCAAAGACAGAATCTGCCACAATGGAGCCCTGACTGTGGGGAACAACCATGTTGAAACACAGTCAGTCATAATTAACCAATAAACAACTGAATGACAAAATAGAACAATCAAATGGTCACATGATTAACAAACTGATTAAC